TTGTTTTGGTTTTTTCTATTTTTTTTTTTTTTTATTGGTTTTTTTTGTTTTTTTTTTTTTTAAGGAATCCAGTTTTTAAAATTTGTGCTTTCTAGTATCTTTTATGAGAAATCTTTGCCTACATGAATATTATGAAAATGCTCTGTTTTCTTCTAGAAGCTTTATTATTTTGCCTTTTACATTTAGCTCTGTGAAATATCTCAGATAGATTTTTATGTATGGGGAGAATAACAGTTCTTTTCCAGATTGCTATCTAGTTATTCCTGAATCATATGTTGAAGAGATTTTCCTTTCTAGCCATGTTTTTTTTGTTTTTGTTTTTGTTTTTTCCTATACATATGCTTTGATTTACTTACTGGTATAAGGATTCAGAAAAGCCATACTTATTTTTGCTATTTGCAATTTGCTATGAAACAGATGTAACCCACCAAAACATAGATAATTAGTGACCATCACATCATTCACATTATATCTAAGGACTACTTAACATGACTGTGTGTGTTACAGGGTTCATACTTTGCTTCTTTTTATTTTTTGAGACTGATTTTGCTCAGTTGTTGAGGCTGGCCTCAAACTTGTGATCCTCTTGCTTCAGTCTCCTGAGTGAGTGGAATTGGAAGTGTGTGACTCCAGATCATTACATTCTTACATCAAGTTAAGAATCATCAGGTCAACCATTTATCAGCTTTTCATTGCTGTGACAAAATACCTAAAAAAAAATCAACTTTAAAGGAGGAAAAATTTATTGTGGCTCATGGTTTCAATCTGTGGTCATTTGGCCCCATCTCTCTGGGCCTGTTTTGAGGCAGTGCATCATGGCAAAGGAGTGGTAAAGCATTGCTGCTCACCTCATGGCATCCAAGACCAGGGAGAGAGAGCAAGAGAGGAGCTAAAGACAAGCCTAAACTTAATGAAAAGCCATCTCCAAAAGTTTCCACAACCTCCCAATAGTGCCATCAACTGGGGAATCAAAGCCTTAAAGACATAGGAGCTTTTGCGGGGCATTTAAAAAATCAATTTTAAGTCATAGATGAAATACATGAATAGATACTCCGTTTAGAAGAATATTTCAGACAAGCCTACATTCTCTATTGGCTATGTCTCTCTTTACCAGTCTTTATGCCAGTGATAAGGATTATTATCAGTTTAGAGAATATCTTTCAAGACCTTTTTCTAGTCATATACACTTTAGAGCATGTATTCACACATTTTTTTTTTTTAAAGAGAGAGAATTTTAATATTTATTTTTTTAGTTCTCGGCGGATACAACATCTTTCTTTTGTATGTGGTGCTGAGGATCAAACCCGTGCTGCACGCATGCCAGGCGAGCGCGCTACCGCTTGAGCCACATCCCCAGCCCCAACACATTCTTATTTATCTGCAAATTAGAAGATTAGAAGGTGAGAAGCCACTTCTGTTACCTAAGGGACATCAAACTGTATTTATCATTCTAACATACCTTTTAAAAAGTCTGGTTTATTTTGTGGGCCTTTTGTGTCATTATGTATAGACTTTTACCTTATTCACAGACCCACAATATTTCAAACTATGGGTATAATATTTTCATTTAGCTCATTCCCTAATTGATGAATCTTTTAAAGCATTTTAGTTTTCTCATGAGTACATATTGTGGTAACTATTCTCCTTGCCTTTGCACACAGTGCTAGTGTTTCTGTAATGTAAATGCCAAGATAAATTTCACAAAGTTTTTTAATTGATACTATTGATGCTTTCCAAGACTGTATAGCCATTTCTTTAGTGTTATCCATCCCTGCCTCCTCCACTTAATTTTAGATGGTTTTAAAAGTAAACTTTGCATTTTTTTGTGATTAGTATTGCAACCAAGCAATTTTTCTTATTTATTTATTTTGTGGTGGTGCTAGGGATTGGACCTAGGGTTTTACACATGCTATGCAAGCAAGTGCTTTACCACTGTGATACATCCCCATGCCTGACCTCCATGTTTAACCTGTTCAGTTCATATTCCCAGAACTCAGCTTAGTTATCCAACAAATATTCAAACTGAATTTTTTTTTCCTCTCCAAACTTACATTTCTACAAGTAATTCATGGGTCACAAACTTAATTACATTTCACATATTTTTAAATTCTAAGAATTAGGAAATTTTAATTCTTAATGTTGATTTAGTCTTTTCTCTGTTAGTGACGGTACACCTTTTCCTCCCTTCTTAATCTCTGTTGTATAAATGGTAAAACTGATTTACTATATTAAGTCTGTAGAGAAACTGTTGCTACCCAAAGGGCTTCTAAGATGACTGCATGGTTGCTTAGCTACTGCTAGTTAAATAAACATTTTAGATGTTTTACTCTGGAAATTGTCCAGATAGAAAAGTTGAAACTTGAAATTCTTGTACTTCAAGTCTTTCTAGAATTTTTTTCTTTTTAAAAGAAAGATTACAAAGTACTGTAAAAAGAAGAAAATGACATTGATGAATATTTTAATTGCCTATTATTATAACATGGCATAGTACTATTTTTAAAGCTTAGAGAACTACCTAAGGATTTATATCAGCAGCTCTCAAGAGAAGTAGAAAATAAGTTTAACTGGAGCCAGCATTTTTTATCTTGGAGGTGTAGAACAATGGAAAAGAAGTAGAATATGAGGAATATGAGCTGTGAAGTCAAACTTACCAAGGTTTAAATCTTGTTGCTTAAGTTGTAGAAGTCTTTGAGTAAGTGGTAGCCTCTTCATTGTTTCCCAGTCTCTAAATTAAGAACAATAATTCTGTAGAAGAGCTGTTATTTAAATAAGATACGGTCTGTAAAGCATTTATTGCAATCTTTACCAATTATTAAAGATCCACAATTTGTTGGTTAAAATATAATATGCCAGTTTTGCCCTTTTTCTCTGTTTTAGCTCACATTAAAACTAGTGCTTTAAATGTGTTCCTGTTTAGAGTGTTCAAGGCTAAAGTAGGTTTGATTGGGGGTTAAGGTCTTACAATGTAGTCAAAGCTGGCCTCAGACTTCTGGGTTCAAGTGATTCTTCTGCCTCAACCCCCCTAGTAACTAGTACAACAGACATATGCTCCCACCATCAGCTCAAGAGATTTGATTTCTACCACTATGTCACTGTGGGAGCAAATCACTCAAGCTTTCTGAACATCTTCTTTCCTAAACAGAGGGATTTGATCGGATATCTCCCAAGTTCTTATACTAAAATGTCATGTTTCATTTTCTTGATTCCTTAAGGCTAGAATTAAAATATTGCTTAGTAAGTTCTTAGAATATGTGTGTGTACATGCGTGCATGTGCTAGGGATCAAACCCAGGGCCTTATGGCATTCTAGGTAAGCACTCTGCCATTGAGCCACAAACCCAGCTCCAGGATATGCTATTTACCTATTGGTGACAAATAATATTTGTATAAAAAAGACTCAAGAAATGCTGTCATGTTGTTAAAATACAAATTATTGGGCTGCGGGTGTAGCTCAGTGGTAAGGTACTTTTCTAATATGTGTGGGGCCCTGGGTTCACTTCCTAGTACCACAAAGTATAAACTACTTGAAGGGCGGGTGCTGGGATACCGACCTTTCTTTTTTTTTTTTTCTAGGAATCTGTTATTTTGGAAATATTAAGATTTTTCAAATTATATATATTTTGGAGGGGGTGGGTACTGGGGATTGAACTCCGGGGCCCTCAACAACTGAGCCACATCCCCAGCCCTATTTTGTATTTTATTTAGAGACAGAGTCTCACTGAGTTGCTTAGTGCCTCAGCCTCCCGAGCCGCTGGGATTACAAGCATGCGCCACCATGCCCAGCTTCAAACTGTGTATTTTTACCATTTTGTTGTTAAATTTCAGATTTTGGGTAGCCTATAAACAAAAAGAATGGAAGACTAAGATTATGTAGATGTACACACTTAATATAAGTAGAAGACAAGTCTTTTTTTAATATATTTTTTTTAGTTATAGTTTGACACAATACCTTTATTCCATTTATTCATTTTTACGTGTGTTGAGGATCAAATCCAGGGCCACACATGTGCTAGGTGAATGCTCTACCACTGAGTCACAACCCCAGACCCCAAGTCTTGTCTTTTTAAATTTTTGTGGAAGCTTCTTCCTATTGTGTATATCATGTTGTCATTCATTGAAACCAATATTTGCTTACTTTCTACCACTATATAGTAAATACAGGATACAGAGCTTCTGGTATCCTTACCATATTGAGTAAGGAGTCATTGCCTGGCTGGCACATGGACATGTAAGAAAGCACAAGGTTCAGTATCCAGGGTATTTATTGAGTTCCCAATATGTAGACATGATTGATGGAATTATGACCAAAAAGGTTGAACTCAATCCTCAGCCCCCTCCGTCTGAAGTCTTTTTCCAAGGTCCTCAAATTCCTCCAGCCTGAGTCCTCTAGTTAGCTTACAATATTTAGAAGCCGTCCAGTCAATTGGTTACCATAAAGTAGGTGAATAATGAATAACAAAGACACTGTTATCATTAGGGAAATTTTAAGGGTTTAGAGGCTATTTTCCAGAAAGGAGGGACAATGGTCTGCCAAATCCTTCTGTTCTACAATAGACCCATAGTTTTCTTTAGATTATTGGCTGAGACCTTTACTCAAAAATAATAATAATAATGATAATGAAGAAACACTGCCTTATCTCAGTGTAGCATTTTTCTTTATCATTATGATGCGTGTTTGCATTTTAATATGCTGTACTTTTTTGCATGTGTATTAACTCAACATGGCAGATACTTTACAACCTCCCCTTAGTACCACCAACCCCCAATTTAGAATGGTTATTTATTATACTTCTATTTTAAATAATCTTCCTACAATTCAGAATCCCCATCTGATCAATTCACAAAGCATTTTGATATACTTCACTTGGTTGATAGAAGTGTATGTTGGAGTTATGACCCCCATGCATAAGAAGGAGAGTCCTTAAACTGTTAACACCAAGAATGTGTTAAATAACAGTGAGCAAAAACATTAATCTTATTGTGGTGTTGTTAAATTTTCAGGAAACTACTCACGTTCCTGTGGAACCAAACTAGAATTTATAAGAACATAATGGGTAAGTTATGTAAAGAAAATTTTGTGTTTCAATTAGTAGAAGCTATTTTTTCTTCTCAAAGACAGACCTTCAGAGTCATTGAATGCAAGTAAGAAAATGGTTAGAGTAAACTGAAATTAGTTGTTTAAGTTAAGACTTGCGTTTATTGTATGTTCCTGAAAGGCACATCAGTAAAAATATTGTGCCAGATCAAATTGGTAAAATGCAGTGAGTAATTGTACCTTAAGAAATTTGAGGGCTCATGGGGTTGTGGCGTGGCTCAGTGGTAGAGCACTCAGTGGTAGAACGTTTACCTGGCATGTGTGAAGCCCTGGGTTGAAAACCCAGCACTGCAAAAAAAAAAAAAGGAAAAGGAAAAGAAATTTGAAACTTCCTCAATAAATATAAAATGGTTTAATTTGGGGGTGGGAATTAGAAGCATAAATTGAAATAACTGATAGCTTTTTAGTTTTGTTCTTAGACATTGACAATAACTGTTAAAAATTCTGTATGCTTGAATAGTCTTATCATTTAGAAGTTATTTACATCTTTATAAGTCCCCCAGACTTTATTACGAAAAATTAATTACACTATCATAGCTTTCATTGAATGCTTAATCTTTTGCCTCAATTTGCTTTCTCTGCATGTTTGTGTTTTTCTGTACTCATTTAAGACTTACATAACACTTCACACCTAAACACTTAAGCATTTATCTCCTAATTTAGTCCATATTCAGAATTTCCCAACAGTTTTAATGGTATTCTTCACAGCAGGTTTGCTTATTTTAATCTGTTAATCCAGTCAGGGATCACTTATTGCATTAATTTGTCTCTCTCATTCTTTTAAACAATTCCCTACTTTTTGAGGGGTGGGGAGAAGGACTTTTCATGACTTTGTTTTGAAGAGTAAGCCAATAGTTTAAAGACTATTCTTCAATTTAAATTTGTCTGTCCTTGTGATTATATTCAGAGTAAATATTTTTTGCAGCAATAGGTGATTTTAATATTTATTAATCTTAGTTTTAGGGCTTTCTGAGTTAACTATTAACAAATGGGTAAGTGGATTTTTAAAGATTTTTTTTTAAGATTTTTTAAAAATTGTAGATGGACACAATACCTTTATTTTATTTATTTTTATATGGTGTTGGGGATCAAACCCAGTGCCTCACACATGCTAGGCAAGCGCTCTATCACTGAGCCACAACCCTAGCCCTCCTATGTTTTTAAAGTAAGCTTTAAGATATGTTAGTAACCATAAAAGATAAAGTTCTGGGATGGTACAGAATTGTAAAAGGTATGTATGTGAGAAAAGATCTTAAGGGGATATACCAAAAATATGTATATATGTACCACAAAAAAGTTAAATTGAGTGGACTACTGTGGCTGAAACCAGTGCAGTAGCAATGAGGGTAACTGGTAGTATGCATTCTCTGTTTTCATCTCTACTTCGAATTTTTTTCTTTTCTTTTTGCTGTGTATGGGACCAAACCCAGGGCTTTTGAGCATGGAAAGTAGGCACTTTATCACTGAGCTACAACACCCAGTTCCCTCTACTTTGAATTTTAAAAGACTGATTCTGTCTAAATTCATTATGTTAAACCATGCAATAATTTAAATTGGTCAGTAAATGTCTTTAAGATTGTTTGTATGGGGACAGGGGTTGTTGCTCAGTGGTAGAGCACTTGTCTCACATGTGTGATGCCCTGGGTTTAATCCTTAGGACCACATATAAATAAACAAATAAAATAAAAGTATTGTGTCTATCTACAACTAAAAATATTTTTTTTAAAAAAGATTGCTTTTATGTATCAGGAATACATAAAAGCAAGTAAAAGAAGGCTTAACTTATAGAATTTGGGACTTGGCGTATAAACACTATGCAATTCTAGAAAAGTATATCAGGAAATAGAGTTAAGTCATTTATTTAATATTTTATCTTTATCTTCACATTTGATTGTGCTGCTTTGGCAACCAAAAAAAATTTTTTTGTCAGTACCTCCTTGAAAAAGATTGGTAAGTTTTCATCTAATATATCCTTTGATCTAGAGTTTATGCTGACAGTGGAAAATATTTAACAAGGTGTTAAAAACTTTAAAGTTGGAGCTGAGGGTGTGGTTTAGTAGTAGAGTACCTACCTAGTATGAGCAAGGCCCTGGGTTCAATCCCCAGCACTGAAAAAAAGGAAAAAAAAACTTTGAAGTCTCAGTGGCTGTTACCTTCCAGAAATGTTTATTGTCTTGAATTTCTCAAATATTAGCCTTAGTGAAACTGTTTGGTTTTAGTATACTAGTGTGATTCAAGAATCATTTCAATTAAGTTTAAAAAAAATAATCATTTTACTACCAACTTTAGATGGAGAAGAGAAAACCTATGGTGGCTGTGAAGGCCCTGATGCCATGTATGTCAAATTAATATCTTCTGATGGTCATGAATTTATTGTAAAAAGAGAACATGCACTAACATCAGGAACAATAAAAGCCATGTTGAGTGGCCCAGGTAAGTAGTTCTTTTCCTTAATGTTTGATAAATGTATTTTTTTAAGTTTAATCAAATGAGTCCTATTTAAAGAAAAAGTCTTCTAATGTTATTTCCTGGTTGTGTTGTATTGGGAAAAAAATTGGTGTGTGCCATTTTCTGTTTTCATTTATTTACCCTATAAATTTCAACAAAAACAAATTGATTATGTGGTAATAGGAAGGTTTGATTTTTTTTACATTTAGTTTCCATTGTCAACTTTTTAACTGTAGATTCTAGTGATTTTGTTCTAGTTTGATAGAAAGGTTATTTCTAGAAGTTCAATATCTCCCAGATCTCTATTTTTAACATTTTTTTCTTAAAAATAAATTAAAAAAAAAAAACGTAGTATAGAATTAACTGTTTTAAAGTGTACAGTTCATTGCCATTTACTATGTTCACAATGTTGTGGAGCCTAGTTGCAGAACATTTTCATCACTCTAAAACAAAACCCCATACTCATTAAGCTATCGCTACATATCATTCTTCTCCTCTCACCTTTCCACATCTGACAACCAATATGCTTTCTAATTTTCTTATTCTGGACATTTCATATAAATGTAGTCATGCTATGTGACCTTTTGTATCTGGCTTTTTTTCACTTGACATTAATGCTCTCAAGGTTCATATATGTGGTAACATATATATTACTTTAGTCCTTTTTATGGCTGAATAATATTCTATTGTGTGAATATAGAACTTTTTAAAATCTGTTTGTCTTAGTTGATTAATATTTGGGTTGTTTCCACCTTTTGGCTACTATGAATAGTGCTGCCTTAAACATTTGTATGCAGGTCATTTGTCTGGTCATTTGTCTGAATACTTGGTTTCTGTTCTTTTGCATGTATATATAAGAGTAGAACTGTATGATCATATAGTAATTCTACATTTAACTTTTGGAGGAACTATCAGATTCCTTTCACAGAAGCTGAATCATTTCACATTTCTACCAATAGTATACTAGAGTTCCAGTTTTTATGTATCCTGGCCAATAAGTATTATTGCCTATATTATTATGTATTATTGCCTTTTTGGTTGTCGGTTTTTCTAGTGAGTATGAAGGGATATTTCACTGTGGTTCTGATTTGCATTCCTTAATAATTAATGATGTTGTATTTTTTTCATATATATCTTCTTTGGAGGAATGTCAATGTCTGTTCAAGCCTTTTTCCCATTTTTGGTGTTGAGTTTTAAGAGTTGTTTGTTTGCTTGTTTTTAAGTTTTTATTGGTTTTGTTTTGTTTGACTAGGGCCTCTCCACCACCAAGTAGCATTCCCAGTCCCTTTTTATTTATTTTTAAGACAGGGTCTCGATAAGTGGCCGGCCTGGCTTTTAATTGCAATCTTTCTGCCTCAGTCTACCAAGTAGCTGGGATTATAGATGTGCATCACACTCAGCCTGTAAGAGTTGGCTTTTGTTGGTTTTTGGTACTGAGGACTAAATTCAGGGGCACTCGACCACTGAGCCACATCCCCGGCCTTTCTTTTTTTCGTATTTTATTTAGAGACAGAGTCTCACTGAATTGCTTAATGCCTTGCTTTTTGCTGAGGCTGGCTTTGAACTCTTGATCCTTCTGCCTCAGACCCTCAAGTTGCTGGGATTACAGGCGTGCACCCATGTGCCCAGCTGTTTTGGTTTTCTTTTTTTGTTTGTTTGTTTAGTACCAAGGGTTTAACACAGGGGAACTTTATACAGAGCCATATCCTTGGTCTTTTTTTATTTTTTATTTTGAGATAGGGTCTCATTAAGTTGCTGAGGTTGGCCTCTTAACCTCCTGCATTTGCTGGGATTATAGCCTATGCCACCATGCCCAGCTTTGTTAGAGTTCTTTATACATTCTTGATATTAGTCCCTTATCTAATACATAATTTGCAAATAAATATTTTGTTCTGTTCCATGGGTTGCTTGCCTGCCTTCCTGCCTTCCCCCTATTTTCTTTTCTTTTTTTTTTTTTTTTGTTTAAGAGAGAATGAGAGAGGAGAGAGAGAGAGAATTTTTTTTTTTTTTAATATTTATTTTTCGTTCTCGGCGGACACAACATCTTTGTTGGTATGTGGTGCTGAGGATGGAACCCGGGCCGCACGCATGCCACGCGAGCACGCTACCGCTTGAGCCACATCTCCAGCCCCTTCCCCCTATTTTCTTCTTCCCTCCTTCATTTTCCAGTCTCGCACATGCCAGGCAAGCTTTCTACCACTAAACTCTATCAAATCTTTATAGTTTTTTTGTTTGTTTTTTTAAATAGTGTCATTTGAAGCGTATGTTTTATTTTATTTTGATGAAGTATAATTGTTTGATTTTTGTTTTTATGTCCTTTCTGCAACCATATCCAACAACATGAAGATTTAATTAAGTTAGATTTCCCCTGCATTTTCTTCTGGGAGTTTTATGAATTCAGCTCTTATAATACTTAGGTTTTTTGTTTTAAATTAATTTTTGTGTATGGTGTTGGGTGAGAGTTAAACTTCATTCTTTTGCATGAGGATATCTACTATCGTATATTGAAGAAACCATTCTTTTCCCTCTTGAATGTTCTTGGTACCCTTGATAAAAATTGGTTAACCAGAGATGTGCATGTTTGTTTCTGGGCTCTCTATTCTGTTTATCTATATGAAAATTGTTTCAGTTGCTTGAATCCCTTATTCCTTATCTATATTTTTTTACTATGAAAATTTTAAAGCAAAACCAGAAATGCAATGGTGTAATATACCTCCATGTGCCAAACTTCGGTAGTTATTAATATTTTGCCCATTGTATCTTGTTTTACCTACTATCCCTATTTTGGGAGTATTTCAAGAAATTCCCTGACATTTTGACATTTCACTTGCAAACTCTTGTGGCCTTTTTTTGTTTGTTTTTGTGGTTTTTTGTGGTGCAGTACTGGGGTTTGAATCCAGGGCTTCTCACATGCTAAGCATATGCTCTACCACTAAGCTACATCCTTGGGCCCTGCACGCACCCACCTCCCTTTTTTTTCCCTTTTGTACCAGGTTACACTAAGTTGTACTGGCTGGCCTTGAACTTTTAATCCTCTTCCCTTAGCCTCCTGAGTAGCTGGGATTATGTATGCGCCACCATTCCAGCTATATCACATCTTTTACAAGTCAGGATTGACTGGTGGGTTCCAGGGTTGTCAAGCTGATTCATGCATAAAAATTCCCTAATCTGACTTTCATATAATGGCTTTAGAATTCATTGTGATTATTATTGAGGTTTACTTCATTTGGGATTAAAAATAGTGATTTACTAATTCTTTGGTTTCTTCTGCATTTATTAGCTAGAATTTTCCTATATATAAAAAAAAACTATTAAGTTACCTTGAAATAAAGTCTGTGTGGGAAAAGCAAGATAATTGCTTGGATTTTTTTCATTGTACATAAAATTTTTCATTAATCAATGAATTGGTTCTCCTTCATCTTCCAAATAGCATAGTGTTTTGTTCTTATTTTTGAGTTTTGATATATCATTGTGAGCTTTTGACTTATTATATTTGATGTTTTCTTTTGGATGTAGGGTGATGAAGCCTTATCATGTTGTCCAGGTTGGCCTCAAACTCCTGGGCCCAAATGATCTCACTAACTCAGCCTCTCAAGAGCTGGGTCTACAGACAAATGCCACTGTGCCTGGTTCCATCTTTCTCACTGATGCTAAAATTCCTTCATTTTTGTGCCAGAAAGAGCTACCTCAGTTTGACTTACAATAGTGTTTTGTTGTTTGTTCTGTTTTTCAGTGCTCTGAGACTCAATCAAAACCAAGGCGTTGTGTGTGCTAGGCAACCACTTTACCACTGAACCATATCCCAGCCCAGTTCCTATGTCCTTTGGACATGGTGTCCTTAGTCTTAGATAGCTATATTATTTTTTGTAATATTTCCCACGTTTGTCATGTACAGTATTTCCCAGTCCTGAGTGTGCTATTTTTCCCAAGAGCCATGTTTTCTTCAGCTAGAAAATGGTATTTAGGGACTGCAGTCTAGCTTTTAGGGGTACTTAATGCTCCTGGGTTGAATCAATTTTAGGCTTCCTACTGGACAATGCTAAGAAATAGTTTAGGGGGTAAGAAATCATAAATGCCAACAAAATTTTATTTTAAAATTATGATGAGAAAGCTTTTGCTTTTGTTAAGCTTTATTTTCTTTAATTTAAAAACACGAGTTTTAATCTTTGAGGAAGCAGGAAAATATTTAGCCCAAAATTAATATTTGTATAAAAAGGAATGAAGTATTGATGCATGCTACAATGGGAACATACATCTAAAACTTGCTCGATGAAAGAAACGAAAATGGTCACATTATATGTAATGATTTCATTTATATGAAATGTCCAGACTAGGTAAATACAAAGACAGAAAGCAGACTGGTGTTTGCCAGATGTTGGGGGTAACAGGGAATGAATGTTTTGAACTAGATGGAGGGTACAGTTGCATAACACTGTGAATGTATAAATGCCACTGAATAGTACACTTTAAGATGTTTGGTTTTAAGTTATATGAATTTCACCTTTAAAAAATTATCTGGTATCAAAAAGTTAATAAGTACCTATGTTATCAATAATATATTATCAATAATATATTCAAAAGATGGAATTTAAATTTTTGACACACCAAAATTTATTTTGCTGAGTCCTACTCTCTTTCTTCTTACCTCACTCCAACCAGTAGAAACCTACTGGAAACTTTTTAAAATACTACATTCTCAGAAAGTGTATTTTTAAAATATTTATTTTTTAATTATAGGTGGACATAATATCTTTATTTTATTTTTATGTGGTGCTGAAAATCGAACACAGTGCTTCACTTATGCTAGGCAAGTGCTTTACCTCTAAGCCACGACCCCAACCCTCAGAAAGTGCATTTTGAGATTTAAATGCTTTTTATATTCAATGTATATGATAGTGCAAAATCATTAAAAATCTTGTCCCTATCAGTAAAGACTAAATGGTGTGACTTTCATGTGGCTAAAAATTCTCTAAGGAATGGGACTTGAAAGGTAGCTCAATTGGTGGAGTGCTTACATGCTATGCACAAAGGTGTTCAGCCCCCAGCACTACCAAAAATTTTTTTGAGGAATGACTGAAAACTGATAATAAATTATTAGTAAATACTCACAAAGAAAATGATTAGTAAATACAGAGAAATGTCTTACGAGGAAATCCTATTACCTGATCATATTTTTAAAAAATCTAAAAGAGGAAACAATTTTCTTGCCTGAAGATTTTTTTTTTTTTTTAAAGAGAGAGAGAGAAAGAGAGAATTTTTTTTTTTTTTAATATTTATTTCTTAGTTCTCGGCGGACACAACATCTTTGTTGGTATGTGGTGCTGAGGATCCAACCCGGGCCGCACGCATGCCAGGCGAGCGCGCTACCGCTTGAGCCATATCCCTAGCCCTAGATTTTTTTAAAATATATATTTCTCAGGCTAGGGTGTAGCTCAGTGGTAGAGCATGTGCTTAGCATGCACAAGGCTAAAAAACATCTATTTTATGATTTTATTCTTTATGTGCTCACTCATTACCAAAAGAGCCAAATTAGAAAATCGATGATTTGCCCTGACTTTATTTTTACATGGCAATTCAATACTGCATAGGACTCCTGATGACCTGTAAAGACTTGACTCCTGATTTAGCTTTTTCTTTCTTTTTCCTCCTTCAGTAATCAGACCACCAAGATTTTAGGAAAAGCTATTTTAAGTCTCTAAATCATGAGGACAGAATTAGAATCTTAAAATTCAGTCTAATGAATCTCAAAACTCTATCTTTAGTAGATTTTTGTTGTTTATATTTAAATCAGAGTTAAATAATTTGATGGCAATTAGGATTTTTTTAAATTATTATTCTTTTAATAATTATTAGCTTGCTGGGACTGCCACAACAAAGTACTACAGACTAGATGGCTTAAACAACAGAACTTAATTCTCTGACAATTCTGGAGTATAGAAGTTGAAATTAAATTCTCAGCAGGCAGGGTTGAATTCTCCTAAGACCTCTTTCTTTGCCTTGTTAGATGGTCATCTCCCTATGTCTTTACATGGTCTTCTCTCAGTGTCTGTCTGTGTCCTTATCTCTTGTGAGGATACCAGTTATTGGTTTACCACCAATTTTAATTTAATCACCTCTTTTAAAGACCCTATCTCCAAATATATTCACATTCTGAGGTACTAGGAGGTCTAAGACTCCAACATAGGAATTTGAGGGGGAACACTATTCACAGCCCATAACATACACAATCCTTTTGTTTTACAGGTCAGTTTGCCGAAAATGAAACTAATGAGGTCAATTTTAGAGAAATTCCATCTCATGTGCTATCAAAAGTATGCATGTATTTTACCTACAAGGTTCGCTACACTAACAGCTCTACCGAGATTCCTGAATTCCCAATTGCACCTGAAATCGCATTGGAACTACTGATGGCTGCGAACTTCCTAGATTGTTAAATAAAATAAATTATAATAAACTGTTAATTTTTTTTCAGTATTTAATATTTGTAGTTCAGTTAGTAATTTTTTCATATATAGCATGTTGCCTGTATGCAATTGAACTACAAATTTAATTGCAAAGCAGATTTTCTTCTGTTCTTTTGCATAGCAATCAAAGTTAAAATTTGTTTCATACATCAACAAATTAAGGACATTTTCACAAACTGAGAAATAAACAATTATGCCAATTTGTAGGTGGTTTTGTTTATCCTTTGGATGTGACTTTTAAAATTAGAACGATGATACAATAAATGCTGAAATATAGGCATAAACGAATATGTTCTACAGGTAAATAATGGGGCTATGTATTTTTGTTTTTAGTGTTTTTTTAAAAAAAACTTATTCTGATCTATAGCCACTGATAGCATTACTAGAGTTATGCAAATAATTACATAATAAACATGTTTATAACTTAGCCAAAAGTTGATTTTTATAATTCAAAGAATGGGAGTTGAAATTTCTTATGTGTTTTTTGATAAACTGCAGTATTATTTAAGTGTATCTTGTGTTTTGTTTATTGCTACAATTTAAGAACTTTATTTAAAAACAATTTGGAAGATCACTAGGTACAACTAGTAACTGTTTGAACTGTAAGCCATGGTCAACAAGTTAAACTTCGACTTAGATCCTGTTCATTGTGCATTTGGGACAATCCAAAGTACTGTACTTTCATTAACTTTCAAGCTTCCTTTGCAATTTTCAATCTTCATAGATCCCCGTGAATATAGTTCTTGTTTAAGTATGTTTTAAAATACTTACTATAAGTTTTATCTAGATCTTAAAGCGAGATTTTTTTGAACAATACCAGTCTTCCTCCATCAAATGTTATAAAGTATGAAAAATATTGAGCAATGTAGTAAAAAAATATTACAATACACTTAGATATAGTACATGAATTATCTTCTATTAATTAAAGTATGTTCCTATAAATATGGTACCTTAATCAGTGGGTTTTATGAAGTCAGACTTATGAGGAAGCATTCAGCTTTTAAGCAAACAAAGAACATGAGAAACTGACAGCATTTTGTGTAGGCTTAGGAGAAGAATTACTGAAGTTGGAGGTAGTATTGTCTGTTTTAGTACAACAAAACTGATTTTGAGGCCTGTAAACTTAAGTCTTCACCTTATTGTTAAGACTAGCTAAATATAGTCCAGTTTTTCTGGAAAACTCAAAAAGCGTAAAATAATTTTTTCTCTTAGTAAACCTAAACATTGTACTTTACAATTTATTAAATGGAGTTAAAAAACACGTATTTTTAGTAATCTAAAACATACATACATACTTTAGAAGATATGTATCAAGTACAAGATCTTCTGGGGCTAGGGATATAGCTCAGTGATAGAGTGCTTTGAGGCACTAGGTTTGATCCCCAGCATGGTGGGAGGCTGCTACTTAGTAGCCAATAATAGCAATCATAAACCTATATAATGGTTTCTAAAGGTGAGAGCTGGAAATAAAGTTTGACCAGTTTTTGTAGGTTACTTTGTGTTAGATCCAGAAGTAACCTGAAGTTTAGAACATTAAAATAAAACTGGAATGAAGACTAGACAAATCTGTGTATCTTGCAGCAAATGGTACTTGCATGTTAATAAAGACTGATTGACTAAAAGGTATGATAAACACTCGATGTTTGATCTTTTTGACCTTGATGTCTCTTTTTTTTGTGAAAGATTCACAAGATTCTGCAATGAAACCTTAATAGTTTCCTGAAACAGTAATTAACTTCATATTATGTGCAAATCTCCCCAATGGTTTTTTTTTTTTTGCACAAAAGATATTACTATAAAATGTTTTATTCAATTTTTATTTGATTTTTTTTCTGTCTAGGTTATGCTTTTTATTTTTCATGGAGTTATTATCAAATTAATTTCCTTACTTTTGAAAGATATGCCTACATATTGAGACATAGAATTTATTATATGCAGTAAATTCAGTTCATGCTAATAGAGAAACACATTGAGACATCTTGTTCTGCATAGGCCTGTCATCTTGGTGCAAGTCATTTGCTAAACTTATTCATTTATTTAGAAAGTACAAATATTCTAAGCAATAATATAAATTTGCTATTAAAAATTTAAGTGTTAACTCAAGTAATATCTAAATAGAACAAATTTCATACAAATTAACAAAGCTAGAAAGTATTTAGATATAACAATTCTAAGTTGAGCTCTGATTCACTGTAAATTTGATTAAATAAGGTCTTATACTCAAGATTCCATTGGCTTTATATGTACATTTTGTGTTTTATTTGCAGTATATAAGTCTGGTTTATTATCAAACCAATCATATTTTATATTCCTGTTAAACTTAATGGTTTGTTGGTTTAAACAAATATTTAATAGTATACAACTATTTTGGTATATTAGAGCACCAACCTGGGAGTTAAAAAAGTCTAGATCCTGAGCTGATTAGTCACTTGAGTTTCAACAAGTCTCTAGGCCTCTGTTTCACATCTGTAAAATTATGAGGTTGTACATCTATAGAGTGATTTTTACCACCTTATTTTTCTAATAAACAAGACTATTGTATAAAACCCAGACTATAACATTATAGATGCAGATTGGAAGAATTTTGAACTAGAGAGAAAACAATTGAGTTTTTGCTACTTCTAGATTATGCATAAAATATTACATTAGTACTAAAACTAAGGGCAAAAGATGAGGCTCAGTGGTGGAAGGCTTTATTAGCAAGTGTGAGATCTTAGATTCAATCCACAGAACCACTAGTAACAAAAGTACTGTAACTAGATTAATTTAGAATCTTTGTGGGTTTTTTTCTAGCCTACTATATGTAAAAAAAAAATTGTTTTAGCTCTGGTTATCAGTAATTTTCTAATATGAAGGAAGAGTATGTTCTGTGATTTTCATACCAGTATAATTAATGCCAAGATCAATCTGAATTCAATTTTCTTTTTTCTTTCATTGTTTATTTTTGCAGTGCTGAGGATTGAATAGGGCCTGGCACATGCTTGCAGTACTACTGAGCCACATCCCCAGCCCTTTTCCACCCTTCCTTTCTTCCATTCATTCATTCATTCATTTTAGTACTGGGAATTGAGCCCAAGATACTGCTACCAGTGACCAACATCTACAGACCTTTTTTAAACTTTATTTTGAGATAGGTAACTTGTGATCCTCCTGCCTCAACCTCTTCATAGCTGGGATTACAGCCTGTGCCACCTTGCTTGCTTTAACTATTCTTTCTATTTGCCTATGAATTACGAAAGAGAGAAAAATGTTTTTTCACTCACTAGTTTATCCCGAATTGGGTACATCATGTATGATATCTGTGTCTACTTCATATATCTCTTGCTGAGCCCATTAGACCTTCCCCTCTCCCTCTCCCCCCTCCCTTCCCCCCCTCTCTTTTTGAATGCCCAAGTCCTCAACCACTCTAGCCCACAAACTCTACTGCAAAGCTACATCCTCCAGCTCCCCCAAATTTTTTATTTTTGCATATTGTTCTCATACAGAACATGGGTAAATTGGACTTTTTCTCTCTTTCTAGTACTAGATACTTGGAATTGCTTTCATATTTAGAATTTTTAAAAATATATTTATTTTTTTAGTTCTTAGCAGACACAACTCTTTGTTTTTTTGTATGTGGTGCTGAGTGAGGGTCGAACCTGGGCCGCACGCATGCCAGGCGAGCGCACTACCCCCTTGAGCCACATCCCCAGCCCCTAGAATTTTTTTTTTATCTTGCTGTGTTGCCCAGTCTGGCTTCTGACCCAGAGTTCTCTCCTTAGCCTCCTAAGTAGCTGGGGTTACAGGTATGCATCATTTTTGTTGTCTGTGTTTTGTTTATTTTGAAATGGAATCTCAATATATTGCCCAGGCTGGTCTTGAACTCCTGATTTCAGTTGATCTTCCTGCTTTAGCCTCCCTAGTGCTGGGATTATAGGTGTGCACCACCACACCGGGCTTTTCAATTGTTATTAATACAAAAATGTTTTATTACATTTGAACTCAATATTATATACTAAGTCCTTTATGATAGGCCCTATTGCTTCATTATTTAGAAAAGCATATATAAAATGGCAGATTAGGATAAGAAAATCAAATTTAATGACTCCTTGGTGCTGGAGATTGAACACAGGGCCTCACACATGCTAAGCAGCTTTCTACCACTAAGCTATATCCCCATCCTTTGTGGTGTTTTTGTGTTTTATTTGAGACAGGGTCTCCCTTAATTGTTCACCCTGACCCTGAACTGTTGAACCTCCTAGTAGCTGGGATTACAGTTGTGCACCATTGCATCCAGGTAAATTTGGTGACTTTTTAAAATCAGAGTTGTCTAAAATTATTTTATCAGAGCCTTTAAATTTTTTGGCATCATAAGGTAAAGCTTGTGGTTAATCCTGCCTATGCATGCCAGCTGGTCCAGATCTGTGATTAATTTTTTTTAAGTAGTAGGATTTTAATTCGATGTGTACTTATCAAATTTATATTTTTTAAGTCAGTGTATTGTCATTTCTGCTTTAGAAAACTCGAGTCTGTATCAATCTCCAGTTTGATTTTGAATTGGAATGTATAGTTTTTTAAGATCATCAAAGGCAAAGTTTATCATTCCATAATTTCATTTGCAAGCTTCATTAGTTTATTGCCACCATCCAAATCAGCCATTATTTTTTCTTCTGATTTTTGACTTAAAAAAAAAAACAACAAAGGATCTAAGAAAATATTTAATGATGATCCAAGATCACAAACTGATTTGCAGTAAAATTCTAGATTCAGATTATCATTTGAGTTAATTAGAACAAATATGGTGCTTAGATTCTAAAGAATTACACTCAGTAAAAGTCTTGGAAGTATTGAAGAACACAATATGCAAAATACTGAAATGATGTAATTGAGGTATAGGGAGTTGATACATGACGTATGCCTATAACATAAATGCTTTAAAAATTACATTTCTCTCCACATGAACATCATCCTTCATTTAGTAGGGCTGTTGAAAATGTTTCTGGAACTGCCCTGCTTTTAGGATTTATAATAAATATTCTTATAATAAATGATTCCCCCTCCTTTTTATTTTTTTTTTTAATTTTTTGAGGTACTGGGGATTAAACCCAGGACCAGGAAAATGCATACCTCTAAACTACAACCCCCTGCCCATTCTTTTGAAACGTATATAACTAAAGGAATTAGAGTAGTTTTCTCATGTAGGCAGTAACCTGTCATATCAGAACAAAATTTAAAGCTGTAAGCTTGACCTGGCAAATAAAAGGAGTTAACCAAATTTAATTATTATTTATTTATTTATTTATTTATTGGCATCATGGATGAACCCAGGGGCACTTAACCACTGAGCTATATCCCCAGCCCTTTTTCTATTTTATTTACAGACAAGGATTCACTGAGTGTTATTTAGGGCCTCCTTAACTTGCTGAGGCTGGCTTTGAACTCCAGATCCTCCTGCCTCAGCCTTCTGAGGCACTGGGATAGTGGGTGTGCGCCACTGCGTCTGGCCCAAGTTGTTTTTAACATCTTCAGATATTTATAGCATACTTGTGGAAACACTAATTTCACAGGGCAAACTTGACCCAATATTTTTTGTTCAATTCAGTTACCAAACATTTGCTTTTTTAATAAAGTAGCTGCATCAAAGTTGCAATTCAGGGCTGGGGATTTAGCTTAGTTGGTAGAGTGTTTGCCTTGCATGTACAAGGCCGTGAATTTAATCCCCAGCACCCCTCCCAAAAAAAAAGTTATAATTCAAATGAGTTTTTATCTTGCACTATATCATGTCTTGTTACTTTGCTCAGAGTAAGTTAAGGTTTAAATGTTGTGCTTCAAGTATATTTGGTTTTTATTGTTTTTGTTTGTTTGTTTTTGCAACACCACATTGAAAGACAAATTTCCTGTTCTGGGCAAGAATAGAACCTGATAAACTATCACCTTAAATACTAAAGATTCTGTCCATTGAGAACCTATCCCTAAATAATTGTGTCCATAAACCTACATGGACTGTTGGAATGGCTATACTAGAGTCATAAAATATTATCTAAAGACTAGACTGTAAAATAACAGGAATAGGGATGGGATGTTTTGTTGTTGTTGTTGTTGTTGTGTTTTTTTGTGTTTGTTTTTTTAGGCAGTGCTTATCTCATTCTCTTAGTGTGTCTAGCATAGCACTATACACATGGTGAGCATTCAATAAGTATTTGTTGGAACTAAATCAAGCTCATTAGTATATAAAGGTAGTATCTTAATTATATTCAGTTGGGTCTTTAAGTTTTACATCTTAATTATCCATGTGTAAAAACTGAAAAAAATATTTGGCCCTCAATCGCCAAACTGAGGATATCTGCACATCATCCAGTCCCCCCACTTGCAGGGAAAAGTACTAAATTGGCAGACAGGAAGGCCATGCTCTAGATTGTTGGTTGCCAATCTAGATTCTTGGTGTTCTTTCTTGAAAAATGATAGTGGTCTCCGAACAAAGAAGATACTGAGCTGACTCACAACATATGAAAACACCTCAAGTCATTGTTCATCAGGGAAATGCTAATAAAAGCAACAATGAGTTAGTACTTTATATGCACTAGGAGTGCTACAATAACCAATGTTGTCCAGGATATGTAAAAACTGCATTGCTGATGGGAGTGTAAAATGGTT